GCGGCGGCAGAAAACGGAAGTGGGTGCGAGCGGATCGCGGTGATTGGCTGAATTGACATGTCTCTCAAGGGGCTGGCGCGAACGCCACTGCGGAGTTGGGTGAGGGGACACGGCAAGGGGAGGGGTAAAATCACTGGGAACAGCCGCGGTGCTGGGGGCAAATGAATCGCGGAGGTGCGGGCAGTGCAGGGGTAGTCTCTCGTCAGGGCACACTGGAAAGCTCGGGAGTAAAAGCGGGACGGTAGAGGCAAGGCAGGAACGGAGCAGGCCGTGAGCTTGATTAGACCGCGGAGGGCGGGGAGTCTGTGATCAAGAGCGGCGCTGCGGCGCGGTAGGCGGGACTAAGGAGAACAAGGCGGGGATTGGCGGGTAGCCCTGGGCTGCCGTACGTCGCTGGTGACGCACGTCTCGGGGAGGGTGCGCGCGCGTTCAGCGGCCTCTTTGTGTGGTGCCTTGATAGGGGATCGGAGGTGGCGGTAGCTGCGGCCTTGGTTGTCTTCCAGTCTCCTAGGCTCGCCCTCTAGCCGGCATCTCTCCCCTTCCCTCCCCCTTCCTTTTTTCCTCCTTCCCTCCCCTCCTTCCCTCCTTCCCTTCCCCGTCGGTGGTCGGCGGTGGCGGCTCCAGCAACGGCTGGGCCCGATCTGTGAAGAGGCCTTAGCCAACGATAACGGCGACGGCGAAACCTCGGAGCTCGCAGGGCGGGGGGAAGGCCCGGGCCTTGGAGATGGAGAATTCCCAGTTGTGTAAGCTGTTCATCGGCGGCCTCAACGTGCAGACGAGTGAGTCGGGCCTGCGGGGCCACTTTGAGGCCTTTGGGACCCTGACGGACTGCGTGGTGGTGGTGAACCCCCAGACCAAGCGCTCCCGTGGCTTCGGCTTCGTGACCTACTCCAACGTGGAGGAGGCCGATGCCGCCATGGCCGCCTCTCCCCATGCCGTAGACGGCAACACGGTGGAGCTGAAGCGGGCGGTGTCCCGGGAGGATTCGGCGCGGCCCGGTGCCCACGCCAAGGTTAAGAAGCTCTTTGTCGGTGGCCTTAAAGGAGACGTGGCCGAAGGCGACCTCATCGAGCACTTCTCGCAGTTTGGCACCGTAGAGAAAGCCGAGATTATTGCCGACAAGCAGTCCGGCAAGAAGCGTGGCTTCGGCTTCGTGTATTTCCAGAATCACGACGCGGCAGACAAGGCCGCAGTGGTCAAGTTCCATCCGATCCAGGGCCATCGCGTGGAGGTGAAAAAGGCCGTCCCCAAGGAGGATATCCACTCCGGTGGAGGCGGAGGCGGCTCCCGGTCGGGCCG